TTATTTTCCTTTTCTTTTTTTCTTTTTGTGGGCTTTTGTCATTCTTTTTTTTCTTCATTATTTTACTATTTTTATTTTACTCTATTCATTTGTATCTTTATTTCCTTTTTCTTTTCTTGTTTCCATGTTTTTCCTTTCTTTTCTTCTATTTACCTTTCTTTTCTATTTTAGTGTATGTTTATGTAGATTCTTTTCATTTTGATTTTATATTCTATTTTTATTTTATTCTGATTAGTTTTTATTTTAGTTGTTTTTTATGTTGGTAAATGCAATGGTCGAGTAGTATGTATGCCGACTTTTATATTTTGCATTCCCCATTTAAGTTTCAATTTTTCTATATAATTAGCATTTGTTATTCATGTTTTTATTTGCATTTTTTGTTTTTTGTTATTTGAGTAATTAATTACTTCACTAATTTTATTCACTTTTTATTTTTTACATTTCATGATATATGTGATGTTCAAGCAGTATAAATGTGGTGTTCTGTGACGTATTTGTAATGTTCAGTAGTATACATGTAATGTTCCATGATATACTTTGCAATGTTCGCGTAGTATAAAGTGTGATGTTCTGTAATGTATTTGTGATGTTCATTAGCAATATACATGTAATGTTTACATAGTCTATGTGTGATGTTCTCTTATGTATTATGAAATGTTCACATAGCATAAATGTGATGTACATATTTATAATGTTCAGTAGCATTATACATGTAATGTTCACATAGTCTACATGTGATGTTCTCTAGTGTATTTTGAGATGTTCACATAGCATAAATGTGATATTCGACGATTATATTTAAATACATATTCATCATGAGATAAATGTTCATTTAAAAATTTTATCGAAATATATCCATGTGGGATCTTGTTTTGAAGAGTTTATTACAAGGAACACGATGGTGCAATCGGATTTTAATTACGATACTTGATTTAGGAGCTACGACTTTTTTACTTAAAAAAATGGGATGACTGATGTCAGCAATTTTGTATTTCCTGCATGCATGTTGCGTTGAAGCTATAGATGTCCATCGGGTCGTCCCGGCCTGGCCCGGCACGGGCCCGTGCCAAGCACGGCCCGATGGGGGTCAAGCCGGCACAGCACGTCGTGCCTCCTGGGCCATGTCAAAGAGGGCTTCGCACGGCTTCTTGCCCGAGCACGCGCCTGTCATGCCTCTTTTTTCAAGTGGGCCAACCTGGTGACCCGCCACGGCCGAGACTAGAGAGATAGAGGACCCGAGAAAGGAGGCACCTCGCCCCAGAGTAACAGCGGTGAGCCGCGGGGAGGCGGGAGGTGGCAGCGACCGCTGGAGCGCTCTCCCCTGAGACCCTCAATTCCGGATCTGGCAAAGAGAGCAGGCGGGCAGAGGGGATTTAGCGGGCCGAGCTCGAGGTGGTGGCGGGACGGAGCTAGGGCATGCCACGCTCGCTCTCGAGGCGCGGCCTCGTAGAGGAGAGAAGCCCACGGCGGCGCATCCCGTCAGCGAGTCGCAGAGAAGGGGAGCACGCGGTGTGTGGCGTGTGCTGGTACCGTGCCTGGCTGGCGAGGGAGAGAGGTGATGCGGCGCGGCCACGTGGGAAGAGAGGGAGCGATGCTGCTCGCGACGCGCGTGGGAACGGGGAGAGCGGCGACTGGGGGCGCATTCTGGAATAGGCTTCCGTGAATGGGAAAATGAGGTAGGGTTAGGTGAATGGGAACGGGCCTCCATCGGGCCTTAGCATAAAATACGGCCCGTGCCGTGCCAGCTCGGGTCCGCTGGCAATCGGGCCGTGCCGTGCTCGGACCGGGCTAAAATAGCGTGCTTTGTGCCGGGCCGTCGTGCCTCGGGCTACATGGACATCTATAGTTGAAGTCAAAAATACCGGCGTGCGCTCCGCATCCGAACGCGGACTTGATTGGCGTGTAGGCCCATGCAAGAAACGGCCCAATGTTTAGCGATGGGAATAACAATTTTGATTTTTGATGGGGGTCGGCGGCGAATACGCGTCACCAGGTCGGCAGGTAGGCGCCCCCGAGGAGGGGGGCATTAGCTATCTGCAATTCTAGACCAAACAGGAGCTCGGTTTTCAGGTAGAGGTACTGCTATACTTAGAGTGAAAGAAAAGACAATTGCTCATAATTATCACATTTTCTTCGAAAGTGAAACGAAACCAGAAAGTAAAGTTGAAAAAACTTCTCGGTAGTTGTTTATAGTGAAAAAGGAGGGCATGAGCTTCTTGCTGCACCTTTTATTCCTATAGATTGTATACAAGCTAAAAAATTTCAGGGCTTCGTTTCCAAAAAAAAAAAAATCAGGGCTGGTCCAACAAATGGAACGTTTCTTATCAGACTGAGCTATAGTACTACCGTGGACATGAAATTCAATTGTGCAGTCAAATTCATCGAATTTTGCAGTCTATTGATGTTAAAAATGTTATTACTTGATTGGGTATGACAAATAATGGCACTGAATTTGATTTCCTGTCGAAGCTTAATTAAACATGGCAGGTCTAGAAATGAACTTTCCTCTCCTTTGATGATTAAGGCATTGATACCTACCGCTGAACAATTATTATTCTACTAGACTTGATGCGGTGCAAGATGCTTAATCGATCCCACCAGATACAAACTGTATCAACTGTGTCAAGTGGCCGCCTCACCGACACTTCAAAATCAAGTCAGGTAGTGAGCTCACATTATCAAATCCAGTTGACACCTCATATCACTGGTGGCTGAACTTCATTATATATCGATCACGACATTATCAAATCCAGTTGTACGTATATAACTTATTTCATTTAATAAGAATAAGTAAGAATAAGAAGAAGGTCTCTACTAAATATTTGTGAATCCTTCAATTCTAATCAAGAACTAACCCATCATTTCTAGAAAGATCATTTTTCATGAGATAAAAAGGTGGCTGATGACAATTTGTGACATTTTCTCGTAGTCATGTGCTTGTCTACTTCAAGAAAAATAGTTTGGTATTAGTACTTTAAGTGTCATGCAAGTTGAAGGAATCCTTGATATTGAAAAAAAAAGGAGCATTGGTTACACTGTCAGGATTATTAACCGCGCCGATGCACTAAGCTGACTTGAAGTCTTCCATGAATAGCCTTAGTAACCACTACTGATCTGCTGCTGACTTTTGTAGTTATACATGTGGTCTAGACTCCAGATCAGAGAGCAATAGTGATTCAGACCAGAGTTTCTTTTTTTTTTAGATGAAAGGTTTCCCCTGCTTTATTTGCATAAAGCAATCCAGAGTTTCTTTTTTTTTACGACATAAACCAGAGTTTCTTTAGTCTGCCCTCAAATGCTCATATGAAATGTTGATACCTTTCCTAAGAGGAATCTGATCTCTCTGCATTCGTTTTTGGCAGAGTAGGAATCTCTGCGCTTAGAGCGACCACACTGTTACCACATTGCAATCCTGTTTTCCCTATGGCCTTTTTCTAACAAAGATGTAGTAGAAAACCGATTTGAGTGTAACGGATCTCGATGTCAGACATCGAATAAACAAGTTTACAGTTCTCATACTTGTTGTGGCCTTGCACAAGACGAGTTTAAAAGCGCAGAGAGCGCAACTGGATTCAAAAAAAGTCAGAAGCACTTCATGCAGCCGGGTGACAGTTTGCAATTGACCTTACAATAAAACTGAAGCGCGGTATCCTATTTGGTCAGATGGTGCACAACCTTAACAAAATTAACAAGCACTGAAAACAGTTTGTCAGAAAAGCAAGCAGTGCATGTTTTCAGCAGAACACCCACACACAACACAAAGATCGGGTCTGAAATACAGTAGTTTCTGAAATGGGGTTCTAATTGCACTGCTACCACTAATGATTGAGAATTATTTTCTGAAATGGGGTCTAATTGTCCTACTACCACTAATGGAGCAGTGCAGTTTACTCAAGAACGGGTCAGAAAGGCCCAAGCTGAGCTGATACCTGGCCAGCTGTCAGCAATCAGCACGCACCTTCTTCGCTGAGAGCGCGCGGGCACCTACTACCTGCCCCCGCCCGCTACAGCTGCCACCCATACGAACATCTCAATATTTTTTTTATTTTTATTAATATATTTTCTCCCGCCCGACACGAAAGAACACCACGGTTTTATATAGCACCCCCTTCTACCCAGCTCTCCTTCGAACTGCCACCCTCTCTTCTTCTCTCGACCCTTCTTCCCTGCTCTGCTCGATCAGGTTTGCTCCTCCCTTGGATTTTTCTCTTGTTCTCTTGCATTTGCAAGGCATTGTACCTGATTATGATGTTCTTTTCGTCAGTTGCTTGCAATTGTCAGCTTGAGAATTACCAACTCTACATGCATTGTGATTTGTGATGCTTGTGTAAGTTTTCACCATGTCGGTACATGATCTCGGGAACATGAGAGTTTTATGTTATCTAGCACACGATGGTAAGTCGAAGCGAAGATCGTGTAGGCTTGCTCTTGACTGCTCGTTTTGGTAGCTGTTTCTTTTTTTTATAAGGATCTAGGTAGTTGGTTGGTTCTTTGCCCTTTTTGTATTGGCTTGAGATCTTAAAAGTTCTTTTTTTTCCCTTAGCCTTTTTGTTCAAGCAATTGTTGTATCTCCTGTCTCGTATCATGGTTTGGTTGGCAGTAGCACTCCTACAACGTGCCGTCTAGACAAGCTAGCAGATCCAATGATCCATCTTGTATCCGAAGTGACTCTTTTTTCTCCTAGTGATAGCGAGTGAATCAATCAATTACCAAAATGTACAATACTGCATGCTCCCGAGTAGATCAGTAACGGCACAATTCCATAGTAGTATTGATTTGAACCCAGGAATATCAGCATAAATTTGGACATTTTGATCAAGAGAAAGAAACTTTGTTTTTTGATGACAACGACACACAACCACCAAACTTGTTTTTCCCTTTTTATATAGAGAACTCTCAGCCTTGATCAATCAGATCAAATTGGCTAACTATATTTTCTTTGTGATCTCTTCAGGGGCTTGCACCAGAGAAGCTAGAAGAGGAGGTGCGCCAGACGCTGCATGATGGGTTCCAAAGCTGCAATTTTTGCCACGGCTGTACTGGCCGTCCTCTTCTCCGCCCCGGCATTGGCTCAGAAGAGCAGCCCGCCCGCGCCGGCGCCCGTGTCACTGTCGCCGACCCCGGCGCCGGCGCCGGCGCCGCACTACGTGGACCTCGCGGAGCTCCTGAGCGTGGCCGGGCCGTTCCACACGTTCCTCAACTACCTGGAGAAGGCGAACGTGATCGAGACCTTCCAGGCGCAGGCCAACAACACCAAAGTGGGCATCACCATCTTCGTGCCTAAGGACTCGGCGTTCGCGGCGCTCAAGAAGTCCACCTTCTCCAACCTCACCTCCGACCAGCTCAAGACACTGCTCCTGTACCACGCGTTCCCCAAGTTCTACTCCCTGGCCGAGTTCAAGAACCTGAGCTCGCTCAACCCGGTGAGCACCTTCGCGGGGCCGCCCTACAACCTCAACCTCACCGACGACATGGGCAGCATCTACGTGCAGTCCATGTGGTCCAGGCCCAAGATCGCCAGCAGCGTGTACGCCACCAAGCCCGTCGCCATCTACGCGCTCAACAAGGTGCTCCTGCCCGTGCAGCTCTTCAGCAAGGACCCACCGCTCGCGCCGGCGCCCGCGCCCGCGCCGGAGTCCGGGGCGTCCGATGCCCCCAGCCCGGCGGCCGGCAAATCAGGCGGGCTGGCCGGAGGCAAGGGTGACTCCACGAGTGCCGCGCACAGCACTGGTGGTGCCGTCAGCGTCGCCAGTTCCTTGCTACTCGCTGCCGCAGGGTGCTTGATGATTCTCCAGTGGTGAGAGACTTGGGTTCTTGCCATTTGTGTGAGCACGGTATTCGTGCTTCCCCACGGCCACACTTGATTTCGTTTTGAATGGGTTGCTGGAGTCAAATTCTTTTGGACATAAGGTAGGCGTACCGTTAGGATCGAGTTGGAGTATTTTACGTCAAATTACATTACTCTCATAATTTCTATCATTTTTTGATGGACGGATGATTGAATGAATGAATACGAGAAAAAAGTTTTCACTGCTACCCCTTTTCCTCTATCTAGTCCTTCTATGCAGCTGTTGATCAAAGACATTTTGATACTTGTTCAGATAATAAAGAACTAAAACTGCTTGCAAGTTGCAACTGGAACCTCACCTCCACTGAGTTGTCCCTGGCAGGAACAACATGCTCAAGATTACAACTTTGTTCATTGAAGTGGATGTACAGAGCTGAAAGATTGACGCATATGATACACATTAGTTTATTCGAAATTTGAACTTGGGTTGGTCGGTTCGCATGTCTATAGAAAATAACTGAAACTTCCATGTGCATTGAGCATGGCTTGCTGTTTCCCACATGCAACTTATTTTTCGTCTGAAGAATCTGTGTTCAATAGAAGATGAATCAGATCTTAGGCAATCGTTCAGTTCTCCATTTGACGCAGAAGATTTTTTAACTACTTATTAATTATGTAAGCTTAACACCATGTGTCTGTTTCCCTAGTGGTGTAGAAATACCAACTGGTCAGTAGCTTTTAATCACATTTTGAAGTCAAACTCTGCAGCATAGTTTGTGTGCCAAGTGGCAACAATCAAGCGTGATGAGTGCCAGGCCACTGCAAAACATTGAAGCAACTCCGCACCTAAAAAGGATGAGTAAAATGCAACGGTGGACCTTAAACTTTGCGGTACTAGATTTTGCAGTGAGTAACTAAGTATCCATTTAGGTCACTAGACTCCCAAAACGCACATCTAGCTATAGGAACTAGACTCGCGCAACGATACATGTCCGAACGGGACGTAGACAATAGACCCTCTTGCGGATGTGCCAATCCATGATGGATAACACGTGCACTCCAGGGAATTGTATATTGGACGGAAGCCTCTCATCTTAGCCTCGCCTCCCACATTTGCTCCCGCCTCTTCGACTTTCTCGTCGGCGCTCGCCATTCCGCCACCCAAGAAGATCCTGTAGAGTTATCGGTGTAGGTGGGACGAGAAGGACATAGGTCAATACGTCAGGCGTTTTGGCTCAGTCGGCCACAACCCCGCGGCGACATACAATGAGGACATCTGAGCCAATCTCGTATAATATACGTGCCTTTTTTGTGGTTGAATTGGTGGAGGTACTGGTTCTTTGCCTATTTGGAGTTAGGAAAATAGGTGGGCCCTATAGCGCTCTCCCACCTTTGCTCAGATACGCTACGGCACTCGCCCTGCTCCTAGGTCCTCCAAGAGGAGGGGCCATGACCTTCTTGGCCTGTAGGTGTCTGGAGAATGACTTGTTGCATGTTGGGCCGAAAAGGTGTTTATTGGCCCAAGTTGTAATTAGCGTCTTCTTCAACCTTCGAAATGCTCCAAGCCCTCCTCCTCATGCCAGCCATGGCAAAAATTCTTGGAGGGACTCCATGGATCATCAACGATAAAAGGGGCTTGAGCTCCCCTTGCTGCACCGCTATGATCCGCTCTCTGTGTCCATATCAAAATAAACTCTAGGACCAAGAACAACTATACGGCCGCAATGTGACTAGCTTATTGTGATATATTCCCTGGTTGTACATCATTGTAACACCCCAGGCCCGGCACATGGCCACGTAGCAATCCGCTTGCGCTTTCGTCATCGCTTCGCGCAAAACGGTTAACCGAATGTTACTACGTGTCCTTGGTCTGGCTATTTAAGCTGGTTCGGCGAACTCAGAATTCACGGTATGGTACTAAACTTATGGTTGCACAGTAACGCGGAGCTACAGTACTCAAATTCAGCCCAGCCCATTTCAGCGCTACAGCTATAGTAGCCCGGTCCAACCGCAATTCGGCCCATGAGTTGGTTCTCACAATCATCACGATGAATAGTGTATTTTTAATACAATATATAAGAGTTGATACGTTAATTTTCTATTTTTACATGATTTTAATATGACATGTGTGTGTTGCATGTGTATGTCTGTTAGTGAATAAATAGCGGACTTGAGTTTTCAAAAAAAAAAAGGAACATTGGCGACAAAATTTGGTCGAACCAATTTTGGCGGTGGACACAGTGTCCTCGTCTTAGATGTACGTAGGCCGCTATTGAGTATTGATCTTGTTTCCGTGCTTCAATCTGCAGAAACAACAGAGAGTTAATAATTTGCACAATCCATAGACACTTTGTGCCTTTGGGTTCTGAACGCACTTTTACCATAAGCATTTGTAGGAGCTGCTGGCGATGGTTTATAAAGGTGGCTCGGTCAACCGTTCTTATCATACCGTCTCTACGAATTATGTATTTGTAGGGATGATTCTCAGACCGCTCCTACAAATCGATTTGTAGGGACGGCTGATAACACTAGCCGCCTCTACAAAATCGATTTGTAGGGACGGCTGTAGTACCAGCCGTCCTTATAATACCTGTTTGTAGGGGCGGTTCAGTCTAGAACCGCCCATACAGTACATTTTTTCATAAAAAAAATTCAAATTTATAATTCAAATTCGACCAGAACATATATATATATATATAATTCAAATCTCACCACAAGCACAAAAGTATTATATAAACTACCATTACAAGTCCAATTCACAAGAATATATGCAATCCATCATTAAATAGACATAATTCACAAGTCTAATTCGTTCCACAAGTCCAAACCGTCCCCCAAGGTAAGACCAATGTCAAATTTCATAGACATTGTTATCAACGGTCTAGAGCTAGTCTTTCAGTCTCACGAAGGTGTTCGTACTGAGGATTTCTACCTAAGTCAGAATCTCGGTCATGGTAGGTGCCTTTGACGTGTACAATCTGATCCAATATGAAGTTGCAAAGGTCGCCAACGAGCTCTAAGAGTTGATCATCCTTGTATGGGTATCTTTTCATTTATTTCTCTTCTTTCCACTATAAGAGAACAAGTTTCGGTTTAGTATTTCATATCATGTGCGAAGTTTTTATACTACGGGTGAAGAGGTTCAAACTGACCCTTAAAGGCTGTCTCCTGTAGGCACCGGTGTTACTCATCATAGAACATATATAGTATCCACAATGTATACTCATAGGCTTCTGCTTGGGGCACTGTGTGTTTTGCATATGAAAATGTTAAGTAATGCTTTTGACAGCCATGTAATGGAGTACTAAATTAAGTTACACTTACCGCACATAGTATTTTTATAGCCAGTCTTTTCTTTCTTACTGGATCATGCCTTCCGTGATGTTCATTGACATATAACCTGAATGCCCTATTCGAATTATTTCAGCAAATACAACTTGTTAGTATCAAAAGTGAATGTTACAAGTATATATACAAATATATAAACTAATGATGATTGTCGATATGTATACGTCTTGAGAATCGATATGAAGTCTTTATATGTCACCGGGTCCCTATCTATTGAATCAAAGACCCATGCCATGCTCCTTCCGACATCGACGCCCATACAAATCCAGTGGTTGTTGCATGAATTTAATCATAGAACTAGATAAGATCTTTTGCATCGAATAAAATATATCGAACAAAGTTTTAAGTATAGAGTTGAACTTATTTGAAGTTGTACGGTAGCCATATAGTAGAGTGTTGTTGGAGATTTTTAAAAGCCAGGGCAATGTATGCCGAAACCTTAAGGGATTCTTGCCTTAGTTTTTTCGCACGGATGTCCTCTTTCTCCCGAAGAGTCTTTCTAGCAGCTAACTCTTTGGCATTCAGTTTCCACTGTCTAGGGTAATTAAAATTTGTTTGTGCTATAGCTTGACGGTCTATATTCTCGGCTTTCACACTTGGCATTTGTTTTACAATGTGCACTTGCATTTTACAAATCACGACGTGGTTAGTTACAATAAAAATCTAAAGATTACATTCATATCATATTGGGAGGGTAATGACTTACAGGCATCACGTGTGAATTAGATTCATTTCCATTGCTCCGAGGTGAAAGCATGTCTGCATGTCATTGAAGTCAAAGATAATTTTCTCGGCTAGGCTTCCAAATGTGTCGACGGGGAAGCATGCTTGTACGAGGTCTATGCTCGTTAGAAGAACACGTAACTACCAATCATGGAACCTTCTCATTCCAAGTGGTAGGTGCTGGATGTCCCGGTTTGGTAGGAAGGGCTTGCCTCTTTCATATGTTTTTGGATAATCATTTGATGGCATCAACATTTGGATACTTCTTTGCTGTTTGGTGGATTTTGCTAGTGACGATCTCTCAGAAGCCCATGTTGGGACTTTTTTAACTTGGTTCTCATGCTTGAACTGGTCATGGGCATACCACTTGAGCACCAACAAGATATCTTTTATCGAAACATAAATTGGCTTTATGGTGATTGGATGCTTCTTTCGAAGTTCCCATTCAGGCATGTCCTTATCTTCTTGTGCATCACCTTCTTTAGGAGGCACTCGTTGTTCATGTATTGGCTGCGCTTGTTGAGAAGACTGTGGCATCTCATCATGCACTTGCTCGGTACGAGCTGGAAAAGGTTGTGGCTTATCAAGCACATGCTCGCTAGGAGTCGGGGAAGAATGTGGCATCTCAGGAATATGGTGGTCATGAGACGGTGAAAATATCTCCCCGTCCTCAACAACTCGCTCCAAATTTGAGAGTGGAGGAGGCGGCGAACAAACAATCAATATAATGTCCTGTTTGTGTCAGAGGATGAACTGCCCCATTATGTTTTCGAGTAACACCAGCCCCTCGGGAGCTACGTAGTCTATCCTCCACTGCATGAACTCGGGCTTCACGGTATGCACCTTGACCCTAGTGTAGTCCGGTGATATCTTATTATTGTGGTGTAAGCCACCGGGAGGATGTGCCACACCCATTGCCACCTCCATCACAATGTTCAGTCG